CACATTCAGAATTTTTTTTTCATAACTTAATTGGAATGTTAGCTAAACATTCTTAGAACATACTTTGATAAATTACTTTTGTTTTTCTGTTAAGTCACTTTGGATAAAAGCATCTAGCTTAGATCGGTTAGGCTGATCTGGAGCTTATCTTGAGAAAATACAGTAAGTCACTTTGGATAAAAGCATCTAGCTTAGATCGGTTAGGCTGATTTATTTTTTAAATCATGCTTATCTGGAGCTTATCTTGAGAAAATACAGCTGTGCCATCATGATTTAGAGATTTAATTTCTGTGCAGCTTCACTTTAAATTTATGTTAAGTTCAGTATATCAGGCTCTCCTGCTACTGATCTGCTTAATTCATGTATAAGAAAATGTATACACTAATAAACTGGCAGTATTGCTGTGATTAAGTAGTATTTATCAGTCAAACTGCTTGTATATTTTTTCGTGTGTATTGTGTAAACACTTTGTTCTTTGTCTAGGGATATTGGGCTGCTGTCATAAACCTTCATTTAAAAACCAAACTGACAATTATGTTTCAGCGAAGGTGGTTGTTAGAATTGTTTAAACAGTTTCAACCTTTATGACTTGTTATATAAAAGATGAACATACAGAACAATGAGTGATTTAAAGGATGATTTAAATTTAGCTTTATACAATAGTTCCAGTTCTCTGATCTGATTAGCCAAGCTGCTTTCCACAAGTTACAAAAATCTAAATATTAATCTAAATGAATCAGCAAAGTAAAAGAACAGCAAGACGTTGGCCGACTTTCCTTTTCTTTCTTTTTTCATATCTATTGGCAAAATACCATTACTGTGTAAGTTTCTTCCAGGATTGTGCAACAGAGCTGGCTCACAGTGACCTCACATTTAATCAGATGTCTCAAGCACACGCACACATAACGTGTTGTGTTAAAACATCAGTCCCAGTTATGAGACTAAAGGAGACGGTGGAGGCGTGGCTGTAAGGTCTATTTGACAAAACAGAGAACTGTGACATATGAACCCAGAGACAAATTCTGCTAAAAAGGGAACAAAGTGATATCTATAAAAACCAAGGAGGAAACCATAGTAGATGGATGCCACAGCTGTTGCAAGGTAAGCCATTGATAGGAAAAAATATCTTGTTTTCTTTGACTAATGAACTGTTGTTAGTTTTGTAGTGTTGTTGTTAGTTTTCTATTGGTCTATATTATACTTCATGTAATTAATAATTGCTGGTGGAAATATTACCCCCAAATACATGCAGCATAAAATGGCCCTGTGTTAATATTCTTATATTTTGCAAATGGGCTGACAGACGGTTTAAAGGGATAGTTGAAAAATCTGTCACCATTTAAAGTCATTATAAACGACTTACTTTCTTCCGTGGAACAAAAAAGAAGATATTTTGAGAAATGTCTAGGTGTTTTGTCCTTTCATCATAATATCATCTTTTGTGTTCCACAAAAGGAAGTCACACAGGTTTGGAACAACATGAGGGGGAGTAAATGATGACAGCATTTTCATTTTGGGGTAAAATATCCCTTTAATTCCTTAAGAATTAAGCAAGCAATTTCAAAATAATGTATACAATTTACTCTCGTATAATGATATATAACTATAGGATAAGTAACTATACAATGTACTGTAGATATTAACCAATACCACACTAAGAAGATTCGGCCGTGGGCACGAGGCCGCAGGTAATCACAGCCGTGGTGATATTTAAACCAATGTGAAAGCCAGTGTGATATTGTTTTTAAACAACCGTTCGCTAAACAATATTGTTCAATATTGTAATATCGTTAATATTGAATAACTTACATTTTAGACATAATTTTACCTATTTTCCCCTTTCCAAATGAAGCCGGAGCAGAATTAAGTCATGCGTCACAGATGTTGTGTTTTGAAGATTTAATATTAAAGATTTGTCACTTATCACCTACTGGTGTAACAATCTAACTGGAAGACTTGTTTTAAAATTCAAATAAAAAAAAGGTCAAAATGTAATTATTTGTGGTCTCGGTTTGTATTAAGAAGAAAAGGCACTCTTTTAAAATGTCCATATTGCTTATTGTCCATATAGCTCACTCTATTATGGTTGGGTGGGTGGGTATTCAGAGGTGCTTTAGGAAACAGGATGTGGTATGTAGTGACCTTAAACTGTGGCATTCAGTTTCAGAAATAAAAATGAAACCAGCAGCCCTTAAAGTGACATGTAGACAATAAAACATGCACACAGCAAAGCATGTGTGTGCTTACAATAATACAACAAAAAATGCGTGACATTACATTGATTTTTGATGAATTTACTGTTTCGTGTCTTCTCAGGATGTGGAACGGCACGGATCCTCTGAGAAATGATACCTTTTCTTGTGCGTCCCCATCTGTCGAGGGCTACCGTTATTTTGGCGTCCTCTTGGGATCGGCTGTGACCATAGTAGGAACCATAGGGAATATTCTGACGGTCCTCGCCTTTGCTACTGATGCCAGCCTGAGGACACGTTTCAATGTTCTCATAGTAAACCTTGCCTTCGCTGACCTTCTTTACTGCACGATGCTCCAACCGGTCAGCGTTGACTCGTACCTGCACCTGCACTGGAGAGGCGGAGCCACGTGGTGCCGGATGTTTGGATTCCTTCTGTTCCTGTCCAACAGCGTGTCCATTATAACATTATGCCTCATCGCTATGAGCCGTTACTTGGTTGTTGCGCATCGCACTTCTCGCTGCGCCCGTCTGCTCCTGTCCCACCGTGGAGTGGCAGTGCTCCTCATCTCATCCTGGCTACTGGGTCTAGCCAGTTTCGCCCCACTTTGGCCCGTCTATGTGTTTGCCCCGCAAGTGTGCACCTGCAGTTTTCACCGCAGTAAAGGGCGGCCTTACACTACCGTGCTGCTTTTCCTGTACTTCTTCTTGGGCTTGGGCTGTGTGGGCCTTTTCTACTTACTGATCTACCGTAAGGTGCGTGTAGCCGCTAAGGCTTTTCTGAAGTACAGGCCCAGTCGTCGCTCATCAAAACGCAAGCAGGCCGAAGCTGAAGTGGCGACGGATGACAGCGGGATCAGTGCTGGAGCTTCAACAACTCAAAGCTGTGAGATCAGTAATGATGAAGCAGGAGCGGAGCAGAATAGAAACAAAGCAGAGGAGAAATCTGAGGGCCACACAACCACAAAAGAACCAAAAAACTCCATTCAAGATGCCTCAAAAGACATAGAAACGTCTTCTAAACCATCTCCGGTAACAATCCAGACCACTCCAGCTGCCGGCTCAGGAGAGGACAGTGAATTTAAGCGTGTAACTCGAATGTGCTTTACAGTTTTCTTGTGTTTTGTTGGCTGCTTTGCGCCATTTCTGCTACTGAATGTCGCTGATAAGGCGAACCGTGCGCCACAGGTCATTCATATGTTCTGTGCAAATCTCACTTGGTTAAATAGTTGCATTAACCCTTTGTTGTATGCAGCCATGAACCGGCAGTTTAACCAGGCCTACAAAGACCTACTACACAAAGCTGTACATCCATTAACCTGGATATGGAGGACCCGTCGGTTCACAACAAGTTAAGCGATAATTACAAATGTTATCCAAGTCATTTCAATCTGAATATGACTGAAGGCTACTGCTTTTTAAGTGGCCTTGTGCTGTAGATGTTCAGTGACCTCACATATCATGTATAATGAAATATGGAGCTGCACTCCATTCATTCTATGGAGAACATCACAGTTCTCGGGTTTATTTTTATTCATCTCCATCAGCTGCATATATAAAGCACAATTAAAGCAATAGAACCAAATATAACTCAAAATTGCATGCCATATACATTTGATGTATTATGTTCTGTTTTATCTTCCATTCACTTTCTATATTGTCAAATAGCTTATACTTCTTTATTTGGCTCATTTTTGACTATTATGGTCCGAAGGCATTTCTTTTTCAAGCAGTGGTATTTTCCAGTTCTATCAAAGATCGGAAAGGAAACGTGTCTTGTGGCTTTTCACTGCGAATGCTTTCTGTTTCATTTCCTAATTTTTCTGATTGCGCACAGGCAGTATTATGCGTGCCACCAAAGGAATGATTCATAATGACATTAAGAACATTATATTTTGTAACCTTACGCACAAATGAATATGGGAGTTTACAGCTGGGTAATGGAGACAACAAGGACATGCCTCACTGTTTATTAACTCTCATAGGTAACCACGAGAGTTTCTTAAATCATCTTTTGCTTGCTGTGTTGTTTCCATTTTGATATATTTACTGTTTAAGCTGGATCTCCAGAATATGAAATAAGTTGTATGATTTTATTTTTAAGGATTATTTGCACAGTTCTTTGACATGTAGGTGGATCTGTAACGCGTATATTGCACATCATATCGGTGTTCTACAATTAAAATATGATTAAAAATGAAAACATGTATTATGATTTCTTTCTGAATTGCTCCTTTTGAAATAAAGTAACTTAAAATATGTAGTAAGCAAAAATACTATATTGAAACTTGCTTCTGGCATATGAGTTGTTGGCTCTAATGGAGATTAAGGTTTAAATCTGTCCAGATCCTATTTTTATCTATTTTAATTTTATTATGTGTTTTTATATTACCATCTCAAGTCAGCTTCCAGCTTTTGTAGATCTTGACACAAAACCAAGCATTTCGCAAGTCCAGACAAGTGTCTGTAAAAATTCTTGACATTGCAACAAAGGAAGAGCCATATCATGATGTCAAAGCTAAGGTTATATTGTATTTAGAAATTTAAGATCATCAGGCAAAAATCCTGGGTATCATGCTCATGGATTTCAGAATGGCCACAAGAGTTAGTTATATAAGTCACACCAATTCCAAATTCTGTTTGTCTATTTAAAAGGCATGTGTACAATGGAACATGGGACAAATCCAATTTTGTCCCCGAGTAAGGGAACGGATACGGTCTTGGTAACCTAAATAGTTTTAACTTAACACAATTTTTGCCAGATCGGTGTCTTGGTTTTCATTTAGAATGACATTATGACAGACTTATCTCTCATTAGATGTTTTATTGGACCAATATTGTACCATTGGTAACACTCATATTTCAACTCTACAAAGTCTTGTTAACAGATACAAAACATATTACAATAAGGTTGACAGTGGACATAATGCAAAACTTGGTTACATGCATTTGAAACAAAGTCTACAAATTCAAACAGAAGTGCTCATGGGGTAACTAAATAACCATGATATGGAATTTCATTTCAGAGGAAAAAAGAAGAAAAAAAAACTTAATTTGGGCCTATTTTTTGCTCTCTAAAAGATTTCAGAAACGGATTCAGTTAGAGGAACACATTTAATTTATCTGTACACATTGTTACACAACAACTCGTTTCATTTACCAAGAAATCAGAAGCATTCCGTTCTTACACATTTCTACTCAAGTGCATTTTTCTGTCATCAGAAATCACAGTGTTACTCTCAATCAGTCTGATTCAAATTAATTTGGTTTAAAAGATATTAACATCTAAAACAAATATGATCCAAGTATTTTCACCAGCCAGATAAAGCTCTGTATAATCTGCCTTCAACTGGGATAACAGAACATTTGAACTAAATTCAGCTTTCAAAATTATAGAAAATGTGTCAAAATGATCAATTTCCATTTTTATAGAAGTTAATGACAGTATCTGCCTAATCAAAACTGTAATTGATGACTCAACTATCCAGTACCAAAAACAGGAAAATAATAAGTATTTCTATTGTCTTTAGGTTGGGTTTAGTGAAAGCCAACAAATCACTTTTAAAATGATTAACTACAAGGGAAAAAATCCAGTTGACTCAAAAGCAAAGCATTCAGGTACTTTTCTACAATCTCAATAGTGGTTATACAAAATAAAAATTGATAATAAAAGACAAAAAAAAAATGAAGGTGCCTAAAATCCTAGAGTTAAAGACTAATATAAAAGCATCATCAACATTGGTGCCTTTAAATGTCAAATTAAGTGATTTAAACCAAGCACTGCGTAATTAATTTTTGCTATTGAAAATACATTTAGAATAGAAGAATACAAACTGTTCTGCTGATCGTATACTTGGACCATAAAAGCATGATTTTTACTTGGCAGAAATGTTTATTTTTTTATAAAGTTATCCAAACTCTAATCACCACTCATTTTCATTGCTAAGGAGCTCTAATATTGTTTGAATTAATTTCAAAGAAACTTTTTCTTTCCAGCTTATTTTTATAGGGACAAATATTTACTAGCAGCTTACGAATCGTGAGGTCACAAGACCTCACTCATCCTTGTCAAAGGCTTTACTTCCTTAATTCAATAGACATAAGTAACAGATGATTGGATGAGTAGACATTCAGATAAACACTAAATGGATAAAGTAATAATAAAATCAGTACTGAAAATGAAGTAATGACCTGAATTATGCCTCTATACTTTATACTTATTTACAACAAATCAGAGCTACGGAAAGCATTATACGGCTTGAGTTTTAGCTAACCACATGGATCATGGTTTTGTGTTCAATGGATCAAATTCAGGGGGTCAGTGGTATGTTGGGATTGCCAAGATCTTGAAAACCAGGATCAAGGATGAAGCCATCTGGCTCCTCCTGCAGTATATGAAGGTTTATGCCATTTAAAAACTCTTGCAATGTGTAATTAACATCATTGTCTGTAGAGAGTGCTTCTTCAAGGTTATACTCGGCACTCTCTGGAAAGCTTTGTTGGAGGCATGATGGTGAAATGCGGGGAGAGGTTGGAGGAAATGCATGTGGAACAGTGCTCTCACCATCACTGTCCAAAATACTGCTAAGCAAATCAGCATCAATGGTAGAGACGGAGAACATTGGAGACTTCTTGGACACTTTGAGCAACACATCATCATCATCATCACCCGCATCAAAAAAGGAAGGAGGGTCTTTTAAACATGAAGGAGATGAGAAAGCAAGAGAGACATGTTATTGTTAACCCAATAGCTGCATTACAATAATAAAGACTTCTTATATTTCTGATGCTGTTTAGCATCACTTTTAAAAATAAAGGTTCCAACAGGAGCTTTTTGCAGCTCTGCCATAGAAGAACCATTTTAGATCCCCCCAAGTACATTCAGTGAAGAACCATTTTTTTCATAGTGTGAGGAACATTTAATAATCTAATGAACTTTTTTCACTATAAAGAACCTCTTGTGCGGTGGAAAGATCCAATGGATGTAAAAGGTTCTTCATGGAACCATAAATGGCAATAAAAAAAACCTTTATTCTTAAGAGTGTTGGGTCAACTTTAGAGATGCACAATATATCGGTACCATATCATATCAGTTATCAGCCAGTTTTAGAGATTGTATTGTATTTTTTTAGATGGGTTGATATTTTGTTGCTTACGTTCCCCAGTTGTACATTTAGATTACCATTACTGTCATCCAACGCTCAAAGATAATCTTTAAAAACACTAAAAATGTAATAACCCTGTTTAAATGTAATCTTTATGAGAAATGGATATTCATTTTGAGATTTGCTTCTGTACATCATAATATAACAACATAACATAAATCATCGAAGTTTTTGTTTTATTATTAATTTATGTAGCCAAACAGTGGAGAATTTTAATATTGGTTATTTATCAGTTAAAAATAAAATCAGTTGCAAAAATATATTAGCTTATTGATATCAGTGCATCCCTAAATTGTGGCATGCAACATCCCCCCCCCCCCCAAAAAAAAAAAAAAAAACCAAATCATTTAAAAACACTCAAAATCAACTTTTAACAAACTACCTTCAGGAAAAGTACTGAATGTGAAATAATATTTTCACCATTTCACCACAATTATTTTTTTGTACTCTGAGATGATGTCGGCAGCATCAACCCCCCCCCCCCCCAAAAAAAAAAAAAAAAAAGCTAATCATTTAATAACACTTAACATGTAATCTTTAGCAAATCTCAAAATGAATATTAATTTTTCATACTGTACATTATAATACATTAATTTAAAACAGCTCATTGTAGTTTTTGTGTTCTGTTATTAATTTATTTAAACAATACGGCACAGAATTTTAATATCGGCCATAACATCAGCTTATCGATATCGGTGCATCCCTACATTTTGCATGTGCATTGGACATGCAAGCTCAAGCTTTCATAAACATTTTTAAATCAGTGTTACTGTAATGGTTAGGTTTGTGTTATTGAAACAGCCCACCACACAAACAGAAGGTCCCTTTGTGCACAGTGAATCAAATGCACTTGGGTAAGGAAAGAAAGGAAGAATCTAAACAAGATGTTAAAGTTGACTGGGCCACTGAATGAAAGAGAAGCATCCGTTAAAGTAACATCTGTATTCATCAGAAAGCCTTTTGCAATCAAGACTTGGTGATAATCCAGCAAATGAGAAGCAGGTTAGGGTCGAGCTGATTGGATTTGGAGGGGCTGTGGAGGCGGGACTCACCTCTGTCCTGTGTGCACAGGTCAGACTCTGGCCCCTCTCTGATGCCAGAACAGCCATTCCTGCAGCAACCAAGCACAGATCACTCCAGTAAACCAGCAGAACAGCAATCTCAGTGTCTACTCATTCCAGAGTCTTACAGTCTGTTCGCTCCTGAACTTCACAACATCAAATGTATGGTGCACTTATCCTCAAATAATATTGTGGTAACGTCTTGAATGCTGTAATCTAACAATGCGCCCTTCACATCATCACATAATAATATCTAGCGATAACCTGTATAACTTCTACACAGACACCAATGAAAATTATGGCAAAGTACATCTTGTTTCTAAGGCCCAGATATACTTAATTTTCCCTGTTCCGCTCCTTTTTGCAGACATCAGCAGGCTGTGCTGATGACGAAAATTATGCATGCATGTGTGCAGGACCAAATTTGCAGTAATGAAGCACTGATCTAAGGCTGGGTGATATATTCAGTTCACAATAAAGTAGCTGGTGATAAAACTAAACGATATCATGAATAGTTATAGTAAAGTGCTTTTTATTTGCCTTGTAAATAAGGTCACTAGACTAGTTTGACTATTATTTCTTCACAAGTATGAGAGCATAAATACAGATAATAATGCCTACGATTTAAACTTTAGGGGCAAAAATAGTGTTTTCAAATTCAAGAATTGGTTCAAACTTTTAATGAATCATTTCAAAACAACTGATTGAACTAATTGTTTGTGTTAGTAAATACTGCCATTTATAAATATATACTGTATATAAAAGAAACTGATTAAATATTCTTATTTGGTTATGTATGAAACATTGAAATCTATTTGGCTACAACGGCTGCTTGGTTGAAATTATAAGAAAAAAACAAAAACAAAGAAATCACAAGATACATACTAATGTTTACATGCACCCAAATAATCCGTTAGTAATCGACTGACGGCTCAATCGGACTGAAAAGCCTTCATGCAAACACCTTAATTGATCCGACTGAGCTCGATCCGAATGACATTCTGATCGGATTTAAAGGGGTGGTTTATTCCTTTTCTAATACGATCGAGAGTGCATCTAAACCAGGGGTGTCCGACCCTGCTCCTGGAGAGCTACCATCCTGCAGATTTCAGCTCTAACCCCAATCAAACACACCTGAACCAGCTAATCAAGGTGTTCAGGGTTGCTTGATAATTACAGACAGGTGTGCTGGAGCAGGGTTGGAACTAAAGCCTGCAGGACGGTAGCTCTCCAGGAGCAGGGTTGGACACCCCTGATCTAAACACTCGATCGGATTGAAAAACAAAAAAGGACTGTGCATGTGCAATGACGCAGAAATAGCGTAATGACATATGACACGCGGAACGAGCAGTTCTTCCTGTTGAATAAAGTGTTATATAAATGAGTGTCCCGTTATTAATAAACTCTCATTTCACTCAGCATCTGTGTTTTGGATTCTCATCCACAGACGACTGGTTTTGGGCGTTGGAGGGGCGTTTTTACTGCATGATAAATAGAACAAGCACGGAACAGTGGTTTATATGCTCATTGTCTACAAATTATGACCAGAAATAGATAAATATTCATTCTGCTGTTTAAAAGAAAGAAACAGTGTAGGAGAATGGTTATTATACGCAAACAGTGAGAAACTCTCTATATTTGTGCAGTGTGCACATGTCAAATCTTGTGACATTCACTTCACTTCAGTTGAAATTCAATTAAATTCAAGTTTATTTGTATAGTGCTTTTCACGATACAAATCGTTGCAAAGCAACTTTACAGCATATAAACGCGCACATCAACCCAATCACTTTATTTTGCATTCATGTAAACACTATCTTCAGATTCATCATTAGGAATGAATTCAGTCCAATTTAAACAAAAGTTATGCATGTAAACACAAAGGCTAAAACACCAAATAGTAAACACCAAACCAGAGACAGCACTGTTGTAAATGTTGCATAATTATGCAAATTATGCAAACACACAACACACAAATATAAACCAATAAACATACACAGACTTACTCTTTAGAGACAAAAACCAGTTTGGTTTTGAGGTACTTCAGGTAAGGATTCTCCTCTGAAACAAAAACATCACAAGACAAAGAATTATTATTTTGTGGTGAAGTTAATACAGCAGAAACGATTTAGTACTTGTTTCATTAAACAGGTTAGTTCAAACTAATTTTACATTTATACTAAACTAAACCATAAAGAAAAGAAAGTTCTAATTAAGTAAATATTGCTTAGGGTAGTTTTTAAATAATAATATTAATTCCAAAAGAAAAAAAATAGTCAAAGTGTAATATTTATACATGAAAATGAAAAAGGTTTTATTTTATTTATTTATAATGTTGACATCATTTAATTTTTAGTAGTGTATTTTACAAAGCCTGAAATTGACCACATTCTACACGAACAACTCACCCCCAGTTTTTTCACTGTAGTATTTGCCGAAGGCCTGGTCTTTGGGAGTGTTTGGGTAAAGGTAACACAGTGGGTTAACTGGAATATTTTCTGCTACCATGATCCGAAAGTTGCAGAGGATATCAGGTAAAGCAATCTGCTTTAGGTCAGTAATGGTGAATGGTTTTACGGTTTGCACACTTGGAGTGGCTTAAAAAAAACAAACAAAAAAAACATTGTATATTCAGACTCACATTTGCTGGACCCTGTGTGGCCAAATACTGAACCATGTATGAAAGAAGTATATCTTTTTATGACATGGTTTACCATCATTAGCGTACTGCACCCAGCTGAACGTGATTCCTCCATCTTTGATGCTTTCGCTAAAACGCAACAGGAAAGTGCCATTCTGCTTCTTCTTCAATAAAAGTCTTTCCTTCCCTTTGCTGATAAAACCCATTATAGACCTACAGAAACAAACACACTTGTGTTGAAAACATACACTCCATGATGATTTTTATCTATCTATCTATCTATCTATCTATCTATCTATGCTATCCATACCCATCACTCCACAGGTCTGACAGGTAGAGTTTAACCAGGTTTAGAATGCCATCCAGCCACACCCACAGGGTGAAGTTTGTATCGGGGAGGTTCTCCTAAATCACAGACAGACAACCATGAGTAAACAAAACACTCATACATCCATATCAGACATTTCACAGAGACCTATATAACTGTGTTTATCTGTTTTTACCTTACTGAACTTGGTCCAGGTTATCTTACAGTTGTCATAGCTCGGTTGTTTACCTAATAAGAAATATTACATTATTAACAAATACCAGATAACTTTATGACCTTTATTTTACTCTATATTTTGTTATCTATTAATGAACGAAAGGTGTGGCATGTGCATACCAAAGAGTTTGATGGCAAGGGTCTCCAACTGGTCATTGTCTAGACCACGTTTCCCACAGGAGAGAAATTGCCAACTTAGCATTTCCCCAAACTGCAGCCAAGTGGCTGCAGGAGAGGTTTCAAAAAACTTGATGTTCTAAATGCACACACAAAAAAAATGAATTTTAGTGACGTAAATAATAAAAATAGCTTTTCATGAGTCTAGAGTAACTCCTGCTCCTGACCTTGGGATCTGGACAGAGCATGTTGAACCACAGAACAGACGCCCAAGCGCTCTGCTGCTGACTGGAGTTTGAAATCACCACAACAGGAAGAGAAGAGGTCTGAGATGAAAAAGGAAGCATGATCATAAAAACTGTACTGGCAAATCTATGGAATGTTCCAAATTTACTGAGATTTTTTTTTCAATGAGTAAAAGATGTCTCACCTCCAAAGGGACAGACAGGCCTTGACAGTCAAACTGGGTCTGAAAGTTTATTCTGTGCAGCTCTTCGGTCACACTCAATGAGAGCTGCATAAAACACACAACAGGATTTACAAACAGAACTCTACTTATTGCTTGGTCTCTCAATTCTGATAATTTTAATTACAATTTTGCACAACTATTTTGCATTATTTTGTGGAATTATTTATGTAATTATCGCCAGCACTGTAATTAAATGTGTTTTATTAGGAGTGACTCTTATTGCACTTTGACACTTGGCTCATTTGGAGTGTTTGTTTCATAACCTGGTGTGTTTTTATCAAATAGTTTGGTTCAAGTAAACATACTTGAAAATAGCAATCATACCAAAACAATCAGCTTGACATTGACTGAAGGAAATGGTCTCGGTTCAAATGGGAGAGGAAAAAAAAAAAAAAAAACTCTGGAGCGGTTCGCTTATGGTGAGAAAGCAATTCAACTTAAAACAACAAACTGAGCTGTATCATACATTTACCAGTTAGAGCAGGTATAAAGGCTTATACTCTTTTATGTGCATTTAACAACAGCTAGTCTGCAGAGCTAAGTGTGGCGATCCATCTTGATGGCTAGCCGATATGAGCAGAATCCCCTAACATAAACAGGTGCACTCTGACCTACAGGAGGACAGTAACACACATATGACTTGCGTACGCACATTTTGGGTATGCTTTGAAATGTTTACTTGTAAAGGCAAACCAACCCAAGGAGAAAGTGCATTGTAACAATTTAAGCCCATTCTGGAAGAAAGCAAATCATCTACAGATGTGGAAACACCCTTAATCTGTATTGAGTCTAGAAATCAGTCTTGTTTCTGTTGTTGACCATCTGTTGGGTTTACACATGTTACATGCAGCAATGTAATTACTAGCATTTATTATTCATCCTTAGATCCTTAGAAAACTCACATCATTGATTCCTTTTCCTCCACCACTGACTTTCTGGTCTTTTAAAGTCTGTGAAAAAGCACACATACACAATGCTTTAGCTTTTTATCTTTATAATCAAAATCTGGTAAAAAACATGTAACACAATCCACTACCAAATTATCAGATGTTGTTGTGCCATCACTTAATGTCATCTAAACATTAAATATGAAAAAGTTTTATAATGATATGTTACTTTGATTTATTCAAATGCACACTGGAAGGACTCACCAAATGTCTGAAATCAGCAACCATGCCCCCATTCATACTCTCAGCCATGTTAAGGGCTTTACTCAAGGTACCCAGCACATTAAATTTCCGAAACCTACCATATAAGCACATTAAACATGGTATTTAAAATCATAGTCATGAATTTGTGGAGTGGGGTGATGGGAATGTGTGTATGGAAACACTCACCCTTTCAGTTGTGAAGTAGCACTAAAACAAAAAATAAAAACAAGGAGAGAAGACAGTAAGAATTCAGAGTCCTAACCACCAACTGACTTCTTTCAAACCATATCAAACCACACAAATCTAACAAGCATGACTCTCAGATTCTATAGTCTCAGAAATACAAATCATACCATATGAGGAAAGAAAGAGAAACAGTGATCTTACTTGTCAATAGAAACAGTCACCTTCATAACATGGTTGAGTTCAGGAACTTTATATAACAATCTGTAGAGAGGAGTGTGATTGTCCTTTTAGGTCTGAGGAGAAACTGTTTTTTTTTTTTTTTGTTCTAAATTTCCATCTCAACAACTTGAACTAAACTTTTTTAATTACACAATTAATTAATTACATTTTTAATTACAAAAATAAATAAATAAATAAAATGTGTGCATGCATAATGGAAATACAACTATTCAAAAGCAGTACTGACATTTGAGGGAAGGAGGTCACTTTCACACATATTTCCAAGTACTTAGTTCCTTAGAACTAATAGGGGTCATATACAGGACAATAAACTAAAATGAACTTACATATTCTCAATTTCCTAATGTTTGAAAGTATATACCCGTGTCACATGCAATATATGACAACGAAGAATCTATAATGATCATTACTATCGTAATTAGGAGCAATACTGGTTTTCACTGTTTCACAGGTGGTGAGTAATGTGCCGTATAATGTTAGAGCCTGACCTGACTTTGACTGAGAACTGAACATTTGTGCGCAGCACCAGGAGGCCTCGACCTTGCGGCATGGATGGTTGAGTCTCTACAACAAATGAGCTAAAAACACACCAACAAATAATGAAGCACATAAGCATGAAGAGAGAGTCGTGTATGTGTTGTTGTGTATGTGTTTGAGTGTACCTCTTTATCAAGTGGGTCAGTAGAGTGTCCACTCTAATGTTTAAAGGGGGTTTTCGGACTGGGATGGGGTCATTTTCGTAAGTCATTTTCCCTACCAGCTCATCAAGCTTCTGTAAGAACTTCTGCAGCTGGAACATGCACTCTATAATTTGAGTGAACCTGCCAAAGGCCATAAACATCTTAAAAATAGATCTGAATGGTGTTTGAACAGATAACACTGCTCAGAGAAATTCATGAGTGGTTACCATTTCTCTAAGTGTTCCAAACTTGTATCATCAGGAGCACCAATGCAGGACTTCTGTTGTCTCTGCTTCCACTCCACCAGTTCCTCATTTATGAGCGCTGAGTGCAGAACATCAGAAGCGTCCAACATAGCCGAGATATCAGAAAGGAAGTTCTGAGACAATGACACAAGAACAGCATGGTTCATAAACATAAAAAAAAAAAAATATTATTATATTATGTTTTAGACTTTTTTTAGTTAGTTTCTAAGGCAACCTAGTTTCCTATGTTTAGTTAACAATAATAATCCTGAATAGAATAGCACACAAAATTTGCCTACCTTTCTGCAGTTATCGAGTGCATTGAGCATCTTCTGAAGCCCTTCTAATTGCTTTTTCTTCTCTTCTTCTGTGCAAGCTAATGACACATTAAACATACACACATATTAACACCACCATAAATAGTTAAACCAAAGGCAGTGTGTTTAGTGTGCAGCCTCACAGTCCATTAGGTGTGTCTGATATTTAAAATCAAACTCATCCTGCTGCTCCTCCAAACACCTTATGCTGTGCTCCATCACCTGTCAAAAGAAACAATGAATCATACTCTTGAACAAACACGCACACGCACATACCTGTATACGTGCATACTCACAGACACACACCTCTACTTTGGCCTTAAGGTCTTTTAACCTCTTTTCTACTTGTCTCTGGCTCTCCAACTCCATTGCAGCTGGCTGTATCTGCAACGTCTGCACCTGAAACATTGAGAGAGAATCAGAAGTGACTAATGATGATGTTGATAATGAGAGTTATGATGATGATGATACTTTAAGGTACTAACTTGCTGTGCAAGCTCTGCATCATTCAAGATCCCTTTCTCCTTCACCAGGAACCAGTGGATAATAGTAGCAAGAGTATAGGGCTCCTCTTGGTATTCCTGCATACAAGCAAATGTAACTCAACATCCCATAGCTGTTAATGATAAACCCTATACTATTGATAACAATAACCATAAAGAGAGTTTTTTTTCCAGCTAGTGAACAATAAAAATATTGACATTTAAAGTATAATCATGTTCACAGTGCACTTGGAAATAAAAAGAACATTATCGTCAGTTGGTGTGGACTGTAACACAGTTGAGGTTATAGTTAACGTTCTTGGTGTAAACAGGCCTTTAGTCTACCAGTATAGTTTTTGTTCAGCATGTTTAGCAATTTTAGAGCCTCACAAATCCAAAGAGGAAGTACACTTACCTGAAAGTTTTGTTTGTAGCGTCTGAAATTACGCTGCAGTAGGAAACTCTCTTTCTCTTGCACAAAACGACTGAACTGGTTGTCCAGATTCTCTAAAAGCACCTGAAACAGGAACGCAGCTTGGGAAGAGTCTCGTGAAGCACGTTCCCTGCAACACACACAGACACTGTATTTGTAACACCTGGTTGATACTCCTTGGTTTAGCTGTGTTCTTCTCCTCATCCATGGTTATAAATACATTCTGGAATAGTGAATTATAAAAATCAATCCACAGGTTTTAGTTCTTGCTCACACAGGTACTGCACTCACCAGTCCTGGCCCTCAATCCAATGTGCCAAGTAATGTCTGACTTCCATTGGGAATTCATCTCCATTGTACAGATCAAAAGCCCTCTGTGAATACACTGTATCCAGCTGCTGCAATCGCTCCCACTGTGTCATTCTACAAAATAAAAAAACAAACATTTCATATTTGTCGAAAGATCAAGGACTACTCAGGACTGGGACTGTCCTGCCACTACTTTGCAAGTCAGATGTCAGAGCTTAAGCATGGTTCCAGTGGTTATTTTTAAAAACAAGCCCAGGGAGAAAACTCAGAGTTGTTTGGAAGTTGAATCGCAGAACAATAATGTATGGCGTGACTTTTCAACATGCCATTTTTTTATTCTAAGGGCAAATGAAGTGGCATATTGACAATTTTTTGGTCAGCAAGAATTGTTCTTGTATGAAAAGCACAGTAGGGATTCTTCAAAAGATTATTTAGACATTAAAGTAATTTATAATGTTTCAAAAGATTCCTGTTTCAAATAAATATATATATATATATACTGAACAAAATTATAAACGCAACACTTTTGTTTTTGCCCCCATTTTTCATGAGCTGAACTCAAAGATATAAGACTTTTTCTATGTACACAAAAGGCCTATTTCTCTCAAATATTGTTCACAAATCTGTCTAAATCTGTGTTAGTGAGCACTTCTCTTTTGCCGAGATAATCCATCCACCTCAAAGGAGTGGCATATCAAGATGCTGATTAGACAGCATGATTATTGCACAGGTGTGCCTTAGGCTGGCCACAATAAAAGGCCACTCTAAAAGGTCCGAAAGGTCTAAGGTCCGAAAACCAGTCAGTATCTGGTGTAGGCATGGGCCGGTATGAGATTTTGATGGTATGATAACCTTAAGCAAAAAAAATATCATGGTATCATGGTATTGTCGTTACAGCTCTAAAATGTGATTATTTTTAAATGACTGGGTAAAACAAAAAACTTTTTTCCCACTGAACACAATATATTTTGTTTTTGAGCAACATACAGAATATTAGGAACAGTAGAATGTTTATTTTTTATGATTTGTTTCCTAAAAAGAAGAAAAATGACATCTTTATTTAACCTAAATCTGTAATTAATGTTATTTAATTTTAGTTATATAATTCATATACATTTTATTTATATCATTTCATATCATTTAGTTATATAATTTCATATACATAATTTGATTTAATAATAAATTCAATGCACAGAGACTGAAGTAGTTTAAGTCTTTAGTTCTTTTAATTGAAATCAGCATCTTCAAAAAGCTGGTCAGCAGAAGGAAGCATGAAGTGCTCCAAAATTTCTTGGTAAACGGGTGCAGTGACGTTGGTTTTCAAAAAACACAATGGACCAACACCAGCAGATGACATTGCACCCCAAATCATCACAGACTGTGGAAACTTAACACTGGACTTCAAAGAAACTTGGGCTATGAGCTTCTCCACCCTTTTTCCAGACTCTAGGACCTTGGTTTCCAAATAAAATACAAAACTTGCTCTCATCTGAAAAGAGGACTTGGATCACTGGGCAACAGTCCAGTTCTTCTTCTCCTTAGCCCAGGTAAGACGCCTCTGACATTGTCTGTGGCTTAACAAGAGGAATACGACAACTGTAGCCAAATTCCTTTTGTAGCCAAAAAGTCTGTGTGTGGTGGCTCTTGATGCCTTGACCCCAGCCTCAGTCCATTCCTTGTGAAGTTCACTCAAATTCTTAAATCAATTTTGCTTGACAATCCTCATAAGGCTGTGGTTCTCTCGGTTGGTTGTGCATCTTTTTCTTCCACACTTTTTCCTTCCACTCAACTTTCTGTTAACATGCTTGGATACAGCACTCTGTGAACAGTCAGCTTCTTTGGCAATGAATGTTTGTGGCTTACCCTCCTTGTGAAGGGTGTCAATGATTGTCCTCTGGAGAACTGTCAGATCAGCAGTCTTCCCCATGATTGTGTAGCCTAGTGAACCAAACTGAGAGACCATTTTGAAGGCTCAGGAAACATTTGCAGGTGTTTTGAGTTGATTGGCATGTCACCATATTCTAATTAGTTGAGATAGTGAATTGGTGGGTTTTTGTTAAATGTGAGCCAAAATCATCACAATTAAAAGAACCAAAGACTTAAACTACTTCAGTCTGTGTGCATTGAATTTATTTAATACACAAGTTTCACAATTTGAGTTGAATTACTGAAATAAATGAACTTTTCCACGACATTCTAATTTATTGAGATGCACCTGTACATGCCTGAACGAAGCAAACAGCAAAAGCTCTGAATGAGACACAGATTCACTCTCTGACAGCAGGAGGCGCTCATGGAACACCACATACGGCGTTTCCTTGGTTACCACTGTAAACAAAGCAGCACTGCACTGAAACACTGCTTTAATATGAACTATACAGAGACGAGATTAAAAGAAAATACCACGTAAACTTTTCTGAAGACAGTCAGTTCCCCTCAGAAACACATTCATATAAACCCCCAAATCAATATTGAGGATTTTCTTCCAATAGTTCGTGCATCATGAACAGTGAGTGATCTGCCTGCTACAGTATTTTTCTCTGTGCGTCCGTCTTCAGCGTCTCTGGCCTGTGTTAACGGGCGTTTACAGACTTTATATTTTCACATAAATTACATTTTGGAAAACGATTGCATTGCAACGCAGTTTGTGCACGTCCAGAACAGAGACGAGTTGCTTGCAATAAGAAAAAAAACAGCCGCTTGCAAGTTCCAGGGGAGGCTCCTTAAGTTCGGCCGTCCTACACACACGTGACTGACCGCTCGCTCGCACCAACATATATATACACATATACATATATATATATACACATATACATATATATATATACACATATACATATATATATATACACATATACATATATATATATACACATATACATATATATATATACACATATACATATATATATATACACATATACATATATATATATACACATATACATATATATACACATATATATATATATATATATATATATATATTACTTTCTATTCATCAAAGAATCCTGAAAAATCACACTTTCCACAAAAATATTAAGCAATTTTTAAACAGTAATTTTTCACAATATTATAATATTTCACAATATTACTGTTTTACTGTATTTTGATATAAAAACAGTCTTGGTAAACATCATTCAAAAGCATTAAAATAATCTTAACAACCCCAAACTTTTAAAATAGGGTACATCAAATTTTCAAAAGTTATTATAACTGTGCAACAGTTGTGGCTCCAGCATAATATGTGTCCCCTTATAAAATATTTTGAAATGTCATTTCCATTGTCATCATTTCCATCATAGAATGTTATCAGACAAAACACATCATTTCAGATGTGTTGTAAATTGTTGAAATGTTCATGATAAAAATGAAAGAAGACATATTAAAGTATTAACAAATTAAACTAACTAATGAGAATTCAAAACGTGTTTTAAGACCGTTTTAATTTTCAGAGGGCCACAGGTGCCCAAGGCTGAAAAACATGCTTATGCCGAGTTTACACTGCACGATTTTAGCCCGATTTTTCACTCGCCGAAGGTTTTGCGAAATCGCCGACAAATGCCCGAAATCGGAGGCAAATCGGTGCTCGTTCACGCGAGTGACAATCACGCAGTGTGAATGACTAAAGAGGCGATCTGAGGGAATCGCCGACGCCCGTGAAATATTTGGCATGCTAAATATCTGGAGCTGTCTGCGATTCACAATCACGCTGTGTGCAATGATTTCTGACTGAAAACTAGGGATGGGCGTATCGATCCGAAGTATCGATATATCGATATTGACGCGAGTATCGAAAGTATCGATACTCAAACAAAAATTATTGATACTGAGGTGCACTTTATTTACCAGGGGTTTTGTTTATTTAACTAAAATAATAATAATGCATACAATATGCATTGAATTGGACAAATAGCCTTTGTTAACGAGTAATTGTGCAAGATAGAACTATTTTCCTGCTCATCTGAACACACAAATGTTGCAAGACAGAACTAATCATTCACAGAGAGCGTTCACTCACTGCTGACAGTGCATTCAAACGGGGCTGCGTTTCCCAAAAGTATCATAAGAAAGCATTAAAGCTTTTGGGAATGGCAGCCCTGAACAATGCTTATCAGAGAACAGAAATAAAAACATAAATGTTTGAGTTATTTCACAATAAACAAATTGAAATTGTAGCCTACAGTTTGTGCAATTACAATTATTTAAATTGAACGTTGAAAGATAATATTGATCATGTTCTATTCTGTAATGTTAACAGAAATCATACACTGTCAGAATAAAAAGGTTGCATTTTATGCATTCAACAGCCATTCACTGGCAGTCCCTAATGGCAGTACAAAATATTGCACTAAATCAAAAGTTCAAATGTTACAAATAAGTTAGAATATTAATGTTGTAATACTGGCAGCACTAATAGAATGTGATCAAACAGTTTAAAATAGCTGGGCTGAGATATATAAACATTTTTATGACTGCAGAAATATGTTAATTCAGTATACACATTATCCCACCGGTTACAATTGTGACTGACCATAAAATAAAAATTTTCACACACTTTTCCAAAAAAAATAAAAAATTTGATTATTTCAAAGGGTTACTAATGACACATCATTTGGATATTTTCATGTCTGGGAAAAATTTGGGATTAAATGGGTTAAAATGGGTTTTAAACAAAGTTAAGTGGTTTTCATTACCCATTTTACTCTTAGTAATTTAATACATTTCATAATTTAAAAGTTTAGTGCAGAAGTATCGAATCGCTATCGATATCGACGATACTGCCTTGAAAAATATTGGTATCGTATCGAATACAAAATAAGGGGTATCGCCCATCCCTACTGAAAACTACATGGATGATGACCTACAGCCTATGAGAGACCAAGATACAGGGCAGAGGGAAGTTCAGGGAGGAGTTATAGACCAGAATATCGGTATTTGAATAGATAGATGAACAATTATGTCATACAGAAACAAGCACAAACATTTGCTAGACCAGCCACAACATCAGCATAACAGTTACTGCAAAATTATTTACCTCCAACTCTCTTTGCAGAACACCCAATCCCTGTTCCCTGCATCTCCCTCCTGCATAGTCTGTTTTTCATTTTCTCCTTGTAGCTGGAAATCAGCTCACAGACAATTTGCGGGCTATATATTTGCTTTAATAATTAGTCTCGCTCGAGAACTCCGGTCTGATGCACGCGGGTTCTCGCGTTATTTCCGTGTGTTTTGATGTGAAACGTAGTTTGCGGACCAGACAGATCTGTCGGCGATTCTTCCTATTGTGAAGTCATGCAGTGTGAAACCCCCTGTCGCCGATCCATCGTGCAGTGTGAACACAGCAGCAACTGAATGCTACCCCAGATAGTCACGCAGTGTGAACTCGGCATTACATGCGGCTCTCTGTCCTAACAGTGACAAAGTTCCTCCATACCTGCACACCAGTCCTCAAACAACAAACGGAAAGACTGACTCAAGAACTGCGTTTCTGCGACAAAGTGTGACACCTCGGACATAATAATGATATAGACTACTAATATACTACTTATATACAGTAATCGTACACTAGACCGATGCATTTGACAGCATAATTACTGAATCCCATGATAAATAACTGGTATTAGCGTATAAGTGAAATATCAATAATTTACCTGAAACAATCGTCTGCACTTTTGAAGAGTTAATCCTCAAACCTCAGTTTTGCAGAGCGCCTTCAGCAGACATACATACAAGAAAGACAACAACACACAGTACTAACATCAGCTGACGAGTAAATAAACACGTGACTAGCACTTCTCAGGAAACCGCCGGCTCTTCAATAAACCCCCTCTGCTGTGCCTTTCTGCTGTGTAGAATGTCTAAAGTGGACTATCACAGTAAAGTGTAACCAGTGGAAGCGGTCTCAGACTCTTACTATGTTCTCAAACATGGTAAAACCGGGTTTCTCAGCAGCGAAAGTCGTTATAGGTGGGTAAACTTGAATAGCAGTGAATGGCAGAGCACCACAAATATATTTTTTGCATTCCCAGTTGCTCAAATAGCAAAAGAAAAACTCCACGATAGTGTTTTCATGACTTTCAATAAAAGGGGAAAAAATTGAGAGAGACTGATAACGGAAGAGAGAACAATGTCAAATTTACCGTCACTGTTGCCAACTCTCGCAAGATAAATAAGCAACCGCAGCCCAAAACAAGCCCAATATTTTTTTGATGATTTATTATCATCAATATTATTTATGATCAATTATTTATTACCAATAAATGAACCTGCAACATATTAAACTGAAACCACTCTTTTATCTGAAAAGCAAAAACGGATATGTTATTTTACAAAAATCAGCAAACTGCAACAAAGTGAGAACAAAAAACTCCTCTCCAATCACCAGTGAGCAGAATAGGATTGGAGAGATGGAAAAGGAGAAAAACACAAGAGCTTCAAAGAGGAACTGTAACATATTTATACACATATTACTAAATTTTAGTAATACTATTTTAGCTTACTAAATATAGGCTATTCGAACCAAATGTATAGGCTATATAGTTTTAGTATTAGTATAGGACTACTTGTTTTTTATTACAGCCCATGATAATTAATACATTACAAAAACATTCAAATTAAAAATTAGGCTAAAAGAAAGTCATCCCACTCCTCTACGTCTACTTCTATCATCGCTTGGGTTACAGCGTCACGCGCCTTCTTTTTGAACGTGATTTCCTCCAATGAGGGGGCGGAACATTTGGCAAGTTACGCTGCAGCACTTATAATATTGCACTGGTTGGCTATTAACTGCGAGCAGACAGAGTGTCAACCAATGCATTGGAGAATACGGCGAACATAATAAATATACAAATAAAGAAACGAAGTTGCTTGTCAGATTTCCCTAAGCAACCATATTTTTTCAAATAAGCCCAAAAAACCGCGACCCGGGATTTTTTCACGCAACTTTACAAAAAAAGAAGCCCAAAGTCGCGTATAATACGCGGACTTGGCAACTATATTTATCGTCCCTCCCATTGACGCTGCATTAGAAACACCCTCGTATTAGCGTTAACTTTTTTTGTAATTTGATGCAAAGGTACGTTATAAATGTAGATATATTTTTAAGAAAATACAAATATGAAAAACGTTCGAGGATTTACGATGCTGATGACCGTTAAACGCGTCATCACAGAGACCATAGAGTTTCCAAAGCGTTGTTCTTTTGCTCACCCGCTGAATCATTAAATCCCACCCATCTTGTTACGTAGTGAAATCGTCGCGTTAGTTCATTGGCGCAGACGGGCACGTTTAACCAACACAATTGGTGGAAGCTTCCGTCAATCAAACTCTTCAGCGCGGAGGGGTGTTGATAGAACAGCGGTAGAAACGAAACTCGCGAGCTCTCTTCCCACGTTCCAAGAAATGACGAAGTGAAAAGGATTAGGCTTGTTTGAGATGCGCTGGCCTCGCCTCGGATGAAGGACCCTGTTCTGTGAGGGGAGGAGTGAAATAAGCGCAGTCAAGACGGACAGTTCTGACCTCTCGAAGTGAACAGATACCAACGAGATCAAAGACAGATATCGCCTTATTCTCACTCGTGCTGTGCTTCTGATTAACATGATATAATTTCAGTTCTGTTGCCTTTATATAAAAATAAATCAGATGAACAAGAAACTCAAAGTGCTTGCTATTTATTTGAGTGACTAACAACAAATGACCACATTAACTTTAAGAATCATATAGGCCTACGTTTTTGTTTGTGTTTAGATAAATCGCTCAGAGGGGTTTGACCAAACTGTTAAACTAGGTTATTTACAAATAATCCAAGCTCCCCATTAATTTCTAATATTTGATTAGTATGACTTAGTAGTAGTATTAAATTATAAAGAAATGACAGATCCATCTTTGAAATCTGATTGGTTGATAACATTTGACAACGTTTAATTCAGGTGCGAAAATAATTAATATCTAGTGCATGAGCATAGAGAGATTTGCGAGTGCACAGGACAGTTTGAGTGAGAGGAGAGACACGTGTTAAAGGGGTCATATGATGCTATTTTAAAGATCATTATTTTGTGTATTTGGTGTAACAATATGTTGACATGCTTTAATGTTCAAAAAACGCATTATTTTTCAAATACTGTACATTATTGTAGGTCCTCTATGCCCCGCCTCTCTCAAACACATGGGCTGCGTTCAGCCCCGACAAAAACGGTGCAAAACGTGTTTTAAACGGAAACGGTGATGCGTTGAACACCCTGTTCTGATGACACAAGAGTTGCAACTATGGCAGCTGAGAAAGCCATTCTTTGTGTTCTTTTTGAAGAATTTTCGGAGCCTGATGAAATCGGTATAAATATGTGTTTAATACTGTAAAATACGCTCAATGTTACAGTCACTGCCTTTGCCCTCCAGAATAAAAGAGAACATCCCAATCAAATGAAGGGATTTGTGGAAACTGTGGTTCCTAATTATTGTGATCCAACATTTGCCTCTTGTCCCAACTTTTTTTGAGATGTGTTGATGCCATGAAATTTACAATCAACTTATTTTTCCCTTAAAATTATAAATTTTCTCAGTTTAAACATTTGATATGTCATCTGTTGTATTCTGAATAAAATATTGAAACTTAAACATCATTGCATTCTGTTTTTAGTCACAATTTGTACAGTGTCCCAACTTTTTTGGAATCGGGTTTGTATATAAATATGTATAGTATTTTTATGTTACATTAATCAGTATTTAGCGCACCTTCCTAAGGAAAGGATATGGACCAGAAGACATTGCAATTACTAAATGATATTTAGACAGACTTAAAGTTCCAGATCTATACTGGTGCTCTTATTTCAGTTATTTTGCCTTTAATGTAAATAAACATGTGCAAACAATATTGCTCTTGTGAATTTATTTGGATGTTATTTACATTGTGCGAGCTGTCTCTTTAATACTCCGTGGTTTATATACGTGTTGCTGCTGATTGGGCTGGCATGTTTGACACGCCCACCAATCGAGAAAACGCATCTCAAACCCCGTTGCGCACCGTTTCCAGGAAACATGTCGTTCAAACCGGAAACCATAGCAAAACGGTGCACCAGAGTCGCGTGACAGACACAGTGATGATGCAGTACACAAGCCGCGGTTAAGACAGCTGACGTGCTATGATTTCTGACAGGCAGTTCACTCTCCTGTGATGTGACCCTGTTCCTCTCACACACACACACGACGCGTTACTCTGCGCTGCGCAAAACTCCGCATTTGAACAGTCAATAGCTGATACTTAAACTAATAACAAAACATACTTACAGTCTCTGATTCAGAAGCGCCATACATTAGAAATAGCCTTTGTGCACAGCCAGCCTTGTACTCTTCTAGGTTTGAAAAACTGTCCTCCATAAAATGCGTTGCACAAATTCGAACATCTGGGTTGTGCTGTTCTGTTGTAAATAAATCTTAACCAATGATTCCTAATTGCATCTACTTCCGGAAGGCCAAATAAAGTGCTTTTGCTTTCGCACTGAAACACACCCCTTGTCCAAATACCCACACTTGCGGTCTTGGCCACTTGAGAGCGCGTGCGCATGACAGGAAGTAAGTGTGCAAGTCTGTCCCATGTCTTCAAAATGCCAAAGTGCAGTGCCCTTAATGGATACTAAATCCACACTACCTCGAATACCGCTCCAGAGCGCTATTGAAGGCTAAGTGTATCCCATCATGCATTATGTTCTGGAAATAAATCGTGAGAGCTTTCTGACCCAGACACCAATGGAACTGCCATGTTCAAAGCCCAGAAAGGTAGCAAGGACATTGTTAAAATAGTCCATGTGACATCAGTGGTTCAACCTTACTTTTATGAAGCTACAACAATATTTTTGTGTGCAAAAAAAACAAAACAACGACTTTATTCTACAATTTCTTCTTTTCTGTGTCAGTCTTTGACGTGCGTTCACGACAGTACCATGGCAGATGCGTCAGAGATAGTCTTACTATAGGTATAGGGAGATGAGAGGGTCTATTACTTACTATTAGAGAAAGCGTAACAGTCAACTTTGGATCACGTGTGCCTTAATAACCAATCACATTATAGCCATTGAATTTCAGAAAGAGTTGTGCAACACTCAATTGCAGTTTACGATTACCACAGGAATGCATGAGAATTGCCGTATGCTGAATCCCTCCTGTCGCAAAATGTGAGTGACTACTCTTATAAAACATCATTTTTTTCGGTGTAAACTTTAAAAATAGTTAAATTCAAAAGTATTGTTTAGTGTAAAACATGTTGAAGATTAGCCGATAGGCTCTCGATTCATTAAATGATAAGCTGTTTCCTCTAAAATGCTGTTTATTCAGTGTAGTGAAACCTCTCCTCCATTGACATCCATTAAAAAAAAGAAAACGGCCTCTGGTCTCCTTTCCCACACACTGGCAAAGTGGAAGCGTTAGCATTAGCCGTTACGCTTTTTTGGCTAAAGGTTGCAGGCTTGCCTTCTAGTGGCTTTGGCATGCGTGTGCATTCCTCTGCTTGCAAACAAGACGCAGCGCATGTCAGAACGCCAGCTCCTGCGTCAGCAGCACCACACGCATGCATGGTATATTTTGAATAGCTAGGCTGGCTTGTACTCTATATTGCCAAAAGTATTGGGACACCCCCTTCTAATGAACAGGTTTGACTACTTCAGTCATTTCTAATTTTTAGTAAAAAAAAGCATATAATGCTATTCTAGGGAATTGTGTGCTTCTAATTTTATACCAATAGTTTGAACAGGACCATTTTCTATTCTAACACAACA